AACTTTCATATTTATTGTCAATCTTCATGGCTTTTGTTTTTCTTTTTTCTGCCATGTCCTCTTTTATATCTTTTTATTTTACTTTTAAAATAAATATCGTTAAAGTTGCTTTTAGAAATATTACCAGAACCTTTTATGTTGTCATTGAGACCTAGAGGGTGAGCAGTGCTCAGGAGATTAATCCAAAGAAGTTCCCTGTCAGCTAAGGCCAGACGAGGGTCTTCAGTAGAGGAAGGGTCAATAAAATCAATAATTTGAATGGAGGCGTCATGAAAATTATGACCGGGAGTATTAAAGTGGTCATGGACAAAGGAGGATTTGCCGGCTTTAACCGAAGCACGGTGTCCATTCATGCGTTCATTAAGGCGCTGTTCTGTGAGCCCAACATATTGAATACCACAAGAACAAGTGAGGAGATAGATAATAGAAGAAGATTTACAAGAAAAGGATTCAGAGTGAGTTAACATGAAAGAATTATTAGTAACGTAACTGGTGAAAATATTACTTGACTTGAATGGTTTACAGGTGAGACATCTTGACTTATTACACGGTGTTATATCAGGGGAAATAATACTGTTGGGATGAATCCAAGTGTTGGATGTGATGTTATATATTTTATTTCCTTTCTTAAGTCAAGAATTTACAGGACAAACTTAACAGCCGACTCCAACTGAAAAAGCCCTGGGAACCATCACCAACCAGATGCCTTGGGGCTGCCAAGGTTAAGCGGGCGTTAGGTGACATGAACTAATGTTCTCCCACTGTCACAGTGCAGCCAAGCAGAGTGCTGTTGTTCCAAGAACACTCTTTATAACCGGATCACACACTGCCGCTGCTTCTCGTACCGTAGCTAGGGCGGGCAGCTCACGCCCCTGTTTGGTCTAAGGAACAGAAAACATGAAGGGAAACACTCCTGAAGAACTGTGCAAAAGGGGGTAATAATATCATAAAAAGGGCCAACTAGCAAAAACTAAGGACGTAAATCATATAATAACAAGCTATCACTTGGCGCATCCGGCAGGGCGGAGGAACCGCCACACACTTTCAACAGTGATACAAATTGCAATCTCATTAAACTATATAAAAAATAAGTATAAAGAATAAGGAAAAGGAACGGGAATGAAGCCAATACCAGAAGTGAAACCCCACCAAAGAATAATTGATCCTTAGGTAGACCTGGTGAAATAAAGTAACTGAACTGTAAGTTTAAGAAAAGACGGAAGGAATAAAGGAGAGAGGAAATAATGTTATGTGAACATCATCAGCAGATGACTTGGCACACCGGTTTCGGGGGTTTAATACCTGTACCGGTTTAATGTGCCAAGATGGCCTTGAGTGACTGTACAGTGTACAGATTACAGATCCCTAAACGTTTACTCTGACCTGCCCCTAACGTAATTTCTAATCCCTGGCCTAATATGCTATTGCTAAATAAAAATAAAAGCCCTAACAATAGCGAGAAATTAGACTAACTTCCAAATCAGATTGTTTTTAGCGAAAATGTGATGACTTTTGATATAAATGGGTTTAATTTGTCTACAGTACATTATTCAGCGTTTTTAAATACGCCACAAGTCTAAAAGATAAGATAAAAAAGTACGTGTTTAATCCGCCCATTTGCTACTGCTAACTAGACCCATGGCGCCCAAGTTATACTCACTGCGTACTGCACTTTATAGATTTGGATTCTAGAGTAAGTTTATATATTTTATCCCTGTAGTTGTAACACATTGCATATAGCACAATGCACAAGAAATGTAAGAATGTTACTGTAACATTCTTAGAATGTTCTCCATCAAACTGGTCATTAAAATTATATTTACAGCCTAGCCCGAGATCGGTAAGTTCTTCCAAATTGTCCCATATTCAAACGACGATTTGGTGCCCCCCTAAGATGACGCCCCGGTACTTTTCTAAAGCAAAAGGCGCAGGTTATATCTCCACAGAAAGCACACCCCAAATTGCGTTTATTGCAGTAACTTCTTTCAAACTTCATGAACCGAGATCAAATCTTGTGAAATGTGTTCAGAATCAATATATGCACTTATTATATCACAGTGCTGGCAAGCACGACCGCCGCCATTGTATTTGTTCTCGCTATATATATGATACTATTTACTCCCTATGGCCTATACTATTATACCCCCTAACCCCTTTACTGTTTTTCCAGGCATTAAGACTCATCGAAAGTCGTTCAGCAGGCATATTTTAAGTTTTAATTTAATGTCAAAGATGACAGGAATAAGAAATAGTTATGTATCAGGAAGTGGGTTTTCTGGAACCCTTGTTTTACAAGAGATTGTCGTGAAGTATATTTGACCAAAACCTTAAACCATAACCGATGGGTAGAGTGGAGTGTGAACCGCTGTCAGTGCCAGTGTCTCTCTTTCCCAAACAAAAGGAAATGATATTAATTTGAATAACTGTCCGCAAATGCAAAATGATACTGAGAATGATCAATGAAATCGGTCGCTCGCTTTTCCCATTCATTCATGGCTTACGAATTGCAGCAAACTTTGAGCGGACGTTGTACTTGTATTGAGTGCGCATACAATCACAATATTGAATCACCGTACATTTTTGCTTATTGGTAGGTATTTTATATATTTTTTGATAAGCATGCAATGTTTCAAAAGATTTAAAAAAAACTTGGATCACAACGGGACTCCAAAAGTGACAGAAAATGGTGAAAATAGCAATTTTCAATGATTTTAGCAATTTTATATCAATTTGGGCCAAGGACATAAGAAAATCGCGATTATTTAGGCCAAAATTATTCGCGGCGCCGCAACAACTAGGCAAAATCGCGGCGAATTCGCGGTGAAAGATAATGTATTTGCAGAGCTAAGTTAGATGTCATATATTCTTTCTCAAATATTGGGTTTCATTTTTGTAAAATAACAAATAAGGAAATGGAAAAAAAATCGGTTTTCGGTAAAAATTGCCATATTTTCGTTCCCAAATCATTTAGGTCACCGGAATTATGTTGAACATAAATATGTCTCGTTAGGTAGCTGGTTACTCCTTTATGAATTAATCTAGTCTACAGATGTTTGAAACCGTTCCGATGTATCGTGAACACCCTGTACATTCTGGTTTCTGAAGTTATGTACGTATAACTAACATTATAAGCTATTATAATATCCAGGTAGATGCGAATCGATAAAACGGGGTACGACGGAGACTTGAAGTCGTCTATTCTCGAGTCGTCTATTTTCGATCAGCGTGCCTGAATCGAGAATAATCTCTAATACAAAGCCGAACCGTATGGAGAACGGAACTATACACAAGAGAACGGCACCTTGTCTTGATGTTTAGCTTGTACTAGAGACTAGTAGTCATTTAATGAGGCCGGGAGGGGGAATCAATTCGAGAATCACTGAAATAAGTCAGTTTAGAGACAACGCTCGGTCTATTAGTATTACCTCTGGGACATCATTCATATGATGTTACATTCTCCATTAAGCCTTCTCGGTTTCTTATCTCAGTGGTTCTCGCGTAACTGTAAAATCCGGATTGGAATATTATTTATGAGTCGCATAGTTGAAATGTTTTCTTTTTGCTCCCTCTGAATGAAGCAAATATTTCTTTCGCGTCGACCGAACATTATTAAGTTGATTGACGATGTCAACCCTTCGTGCTTCGAGATCGTTGCTCTACTTCTGACTTCATTGCTCTGCTTCTTGCATTGACTTCGATCTTGCATTCTTCGATCTTGCATTCTACGATCTTGCATTTTAAAGCACAATCTTGCTTGCTAAATCACTTTACGCTCGATCTTCGAGATTTTTATAAAATAGCCCCCGACAGTTAGTGTTACGAATTAAACCAACTTGAATCGATGTATTTTCGGACGCTGATTCCGAATCACCTCCTGAGGCCCTTACATAAAATGCTCCCCTGGCGGGATATTGACGAAAATCTGTCTTGATCACGTGATATGACCGTATAAAGAAGGTGGTATAATTTTTCGTTAGGGTTAGACTTAGGGTTTTAGCATATATGCTTTTGTTATGGATTGGGTTAGGGTTAGGGTTGGGATCAGATTGGGGCTAAGGTTTCGAATAGTCGTTCAGGGCCAGCTAGAGAACCTTGGATGATGATTTAAATCACTCTACACTCGACTTTTTCAACCCGTTCTACTTCTAAGAACGGGTTGAAGAAGTCACGTGACAGTCGAGTGTAGACTTTATAGAGTGATCTAAATCATCATCCAAGTTAACTTATTATGTGCACCGGGATATGGTATATTTTACTGCAAAATCAGACAATTTGTTCGTAAAAAAGTCGTACAATTCGCAAAAAGCTTGCATGCCCCCTTTTATCTGTACTGATTTCGAGGCTCTTAAAATCAATTGTGTAACTGTATGTTACTAAAAATGCTCCCCTGGAGAGTTATGGGCAAAAGGCCATGCCATGTTGGTCACGTGACAGGCTAGTGAAACATGAATTCGATTGTTTAGGGCTCGGGTTGTGGTAAGGGTTATGGTCAGCTTCGGGGTTATGGTTAGGGTTGGGATTAGGGTTTATGTAAAACCGTTTTGTCCGGCTGCAAAACCATAAAAACCAAAGTCACGTGAAATTTCTGGGCGAGCGAATTAGTAAGAGCCTTGAACGTGAGGCAAACATGAGGTTAAGAGGTTTATCGCATCCTTAGATATATATTAGTACCAAGTAATTCCTTCTAAAATTATTTGCCATGTAATGATTTGAAATTAAAAGGAGAAATGGTTATTAATATTGGTCATAATTCGTAAAAAGTCAAGTTAAAAGTAGGAACAATATTCAATACTTAATTTTGATTTATGCAGTTCACCTGTTCACAGTAATACTAATATGATCATAATATCGACGAACAAAGAATTTTCCTCTTATGTTTCATACTATATTAATGTGTACTGTACGCAGTCCAACTCTCAGACTGTTTATTTCATTTTATAACTTTTGTTATATCTTTATCATTACACAGCGGTATCATAACAATATTATTTCCAAGCCATACAATGTTCCAGTTTATTCTGCTCGGAGCTTGCCTGATAAGTGCAAGTTTTGCCGAATCGCCCACGACCAGTACAAGTTCCTCCTCCAGCTCGCCCCCAGACTCAGAGAGAAAACCTACTGTCCCCAAAAAAGTTGAAATAACCTATTGTTATCACGACAAAAAGAAAATCGAAATCGGAGCAAAGGTCTACAGGGGATGCGAGGAATGCACATGCACGACCAAGCCCATGTACAGCTTTATCTCACCTCAAGGTAAATATCATGTTGTTAATTTTATATTATATGAATTAGCTCTGGGCCACCCTCTGTATAATTTGTCGGTCTTAGTTTCAACATATTCATTATCTATTTTTCAAAATTTGACAAGTTCTAATTTTCCTTAGGACGACTGGCATGCAGCGAGGGTACTTTCTGTTGTCTGTTCATTGACAACGAAGGTAAAACTCAGCGAGCTTACACCGGTGACAAATACAGTGATGGTTGTAACACATGTACATGTAAAAAGGACATGACTAAGGATGACTGCACCCAGCAAAAATGTAAGAACATGTGTCGGTACAGGACTTGGGAAAATGTCGTGAATTATACCAAACCGGGAAAAGTTGATGCGATGGACGAGGACTGTTCCAAAAAGTGCTGTTCCAAAAAGTGCAGGTGCAAGCGATCAGGAGAACTTAAGTGCACAGGACGCTGCGCACAACCTTGGTTACTTGGTTAGGTTAATAATCTTAAGGCGGGCGAATTAGTAATACTAAATAGCCCTGTGTTAAAGTTTAAACCAAGTTTGAGTTGATAGGTAGTAAAACAAAAACAATCTCTCTTATAATTATAAAGTATGAATAATTTTCTTAAATGTTAAAAAGAATGAACAATTTAAAATATGTCTTAAGTGGCACAGTCACAAATATGTTATAAAGTTTTTTCAAGCATGGAATATGAAATGTATGGTAAAAAATGTAATATCGATTTACTACAACCATATATGATGCAGTTTTAAATTGACTTTATACACTAAAAATGAAACCGAAAGTCTCTAAACGCAGTAAGAGTTTCAACAAATACGTTTGTGGTTTGGAAAACACTTTTATCTATGTTTCTTTCTACCCTGATCATGCTATCATGATTCATGAATATGAGCCGAAATCATTGTTATGATATTCGGCCAAGCATCTTCTAAACTACTTACTATTATAGCCAGATATTCGATCAATTTCTAAATTTATCACTAACAGAGGTAAAAAAGAAAATTGTGATTACGTAATGAACGACCAAACCCAATGAACGACCAATTAAACTATTAATATTAATAGTAATACGTCTACAGAAAAGAAACATTATTAGGTGACTTTAAACGAAAAATTGTACATAACGGGGTCGTTCACAATTCACATATTATGTAATACGAAGTGTGTGTGTGTGTGTGTGTGTGTGTGTGTGTGTGTGTGTGTGTGTGTGTGTGTGTGTGTGTGTGTGTGTGTGTGTGTGTGTGTGTGTGTGTGTGTGTGTGTGTGTGTGTGTGTGTGTGTGTGTGTGTGTGTGTGTGTGTGTGTGTGTGTGTGTGTGTGTGTGTGTGTGTGTGTGTGTGTGTGTGTGTGTGTGTGTGCGTGTGTGTGTGTGTGTGTGTGTGTGTGTGTGTGTGTGTGTGTGTGTGTGTGTGTGTGTGGCATCGATCTGTCCACAATAATTGCACTTAGCAGTACTGACGTGATTCGGTGAGGTAAAACTTTTTAATTTATCGGATGTTATTTGATCGGACATTGCGTGAACGGACATAATTGTGGGCAGACATTAAAATGAACGCTCGAACTGCGTAATACTAATTCATTGCCGAATCGTCAATCCGCAAACTGTTTTTATCATGTTTCCAAATCGTGTTTTTGTGCATTTAAAAAATTTAGAGGATTCATTCCGATTATTCAATTTGGTCACTAAAAACATGATTGGTAATCGTCCTAATTTCCGAACAAATAAATAATGTTGGTTGTAGTGTTTATAATACTTTCAACATTTCTATATTACAAATAATTTGAGGTCCCAATGTAAAAGCAATAGAAGAGACGATGACGTGACCGTGTGTATCTACTAGCAACGCATCACTTCCTGGGCTAATTTATACACTTCACCGCCATTTTCTCCTTCCTCTTCCACCCATCACTATGGATCTGAATTCTGTTACCAATGTTTTAAACTTGTTTTCATTAAATGGGCTGAAAGATCTTAAGACCAGTGTTGAGAATGTCATGAAACTTAAAAGGGATTTTGTTAAATGCGAGGACTTCTTGGAGTTGCATTCAGATTTTGTTCAGAACAAGAGTATCCATTATTCAACATTTTTTTGAACATTTTTTTCTTTTTGAACATTTAAAATATAATTTGGAGCATTACAGTAACGTTATTCAAATCTCAAACAGAAAAGAGTATATTTCAAAGCTTTGTGTTTTGATCATATGATTATGGGTGTATAGTGATTTTGATTGCATAAATTTGATTGGGCAGTGATGGTGAGTGAGAAGATGATGGGAGTGCCAGCCAGTAACTCTGTCAAATGAACAGCCCACTGATGAGTGGGTGGGCGCAAGCACGAGAACGGCAGAGAGGGTGGCATAAAACGGAATACACGGCCACAGAAAACACACAGAAGCCAGTGTCTGAGAGCTAGTGTTGCCCGGCAGGAGGCATCCAAAAGAGGTGCCGTGGTGAACTGTGGTGGCAAAGTTCGAATGCAAGGCGAGGCAACTCTAACTGATGATGAAGAGGTAGACTGAACGGGAAGTAAAGAAAAAGGAAAAGGAAGGATGCAGCTGGAGTCTGGCTCATGTCAGGAAGTGATGAAAAGCTCACAGACAAAATCATCCGTGGCTGTCTACCCCGTACGTAGGCAGTGTCCGAGATTTCAGGCATCAGGATACACTGAAACAGTGCAGAGCTGATTACGACCAGGGTCCTCACGGATACCCCGCCTCGGAGGTCGAGCCAATGCCCTGCTTTCGATACTAATGTCTACTGGTGGAACCTTCATATTTTCTCTACTAGCAGTCACTGTAACCCTATCACTCGGAAGGCCCCACAGCTCCTACATGGACGCACGGCCGGGAGCCCATGTAGGGATAAAAGTGAACGCAAGCCTTCCATCACATCCGTCACAGATTCAAAGCTGGGAGGAAAAAGGGAGGAGAGGAAAAAGGAAGAAAGAATAAAAAAAAGAAAACCGAGAAAGTAAACTAATTATCTGCTTTCAGACTGTCTTTGAAGTTGAGGGTTAGTCTGTAGATCTTGTTAATGGTGCTGGTTGAGAGTTTGATCAAACTTACGTCCTCATCACTGGGAGTATCCTTGCAATCAGACTGCGACATGAACGTGGAGGCAAGATTGAAGCTACCATTACCAACATTGTTGAGTAGGTTTCCACTGAGATTTTGAAATTCCTTTCATCAATTGGAGTTTTGTAATATCTCCCCCTTTCAATTCGAAGGTGATGAGAACTGGACCGAATCTGTGTGGTTGCCCTTCTGTCCATGAAAAGACCTAGCATAGGTTAGATATGGCTCCCATGCAAATTCTGTTTTGACTTCACTGTAGAATGATAACTTTCTAGAATCTTGCACAAGAGAACCCCAGGAATCGCGGAACTGTTTTTTCAGGTTCTCTGTGATTAATTCAGGGCTGCAGGAGTCTGCGAGTGAGGCTGCGTTCAACAGCGACGATGAATTCCTTTCAAGAAGGTCGATGTTGTTGAATGATTTGATGATTGATTCGATGCCTACAAACCATGACAATTTGAGGTTAATCTGCTCAGTCATTGCAGCTTTGACTAGTTGTGTAGAGGGGAGGCTCATAACTCTTTTGAAATATTTAGTACTCAGTTTCAACATTTCAATAATGATTGGGTATGAGCCAGTTTCTCCCCAGGCTGTAGCATTGACTGCCCTTCTGTTTATACCAAGAAGGTATTTTAGGTGTCGTAGATGCACTTGCTCAAGTTGCTGTTTAGCGATGTGAGAGACCGCATGATCAAGATTGTGAAACTTGCTGAAGCTAGAGAGGACCTTATTGACGGTGGGTAGAACCGGGGCCCAAACTTGACAGCTGTAAAGTAGAATTGGCTTAACAAGGGTGTTAAATAATTTGTTAAGGCAGGATGCATCAACGAATCTCCGGTCTATAGTGCTTCTCAAGCTGAAGTAAGCTCCAAGTCCTTTACGGTATAGAGAGTCAGTTGCTTGCCGAAATTTCCCTGTGCTGCTTATAATAATCCCAAGATAGCAGTAGCTGGAGACCATCTCGATATCTCTTTCGTGGATGGAAGGACGCCAATTTGGAATGTCTGGTCCTTTGCCATTGAAGACCATGAATTTGGTTTTGGAGATATTGATTTCCAGACCCCATTCGTTACAGTAGTCCCCAATAATCGTAAGCAACTTTTGGAGAGACTCAGGATCTAGGCCGAGGATTACTAGATCATCAGCCCACGCTAAGTGAGTCACTGAAAGTCCAGCGAGTGTCGGGCAGTTCGAGGTCAGAAAGCTTTTTAAAGTAAACTTTGAAAAACTCAGGGCTAAGTGGGTGTCCTTGTTCAGTCCCTTTAAGGATCTTGAATGCTTCACTGATTTTACCATTCATCTTGATATGACCCTCTGATTTGCTGTACATGTCTTTGATGATGTCGTAGTAGCCACCATTGACACCATAGCAGGCTAGTTTGAACATGAGAGCTTGTCTGCAGACTAGATCGAAAGCTTTGCGAAGATCAATGAACACTGCATATATTTTACTTTTGACTTTCTTGTATTTTTCTATGGTGGACATCAGCGTGAATATATGGTCATTACATTGACTTCCTTTGGTAAAGCCTGCTTGGTTGGGTGGATCAGGATGTGAGATTTGGCGGTGATTAACGAGCCGAGATAGCAGCATCGTAGAGAGCAGTTTTCCGATACAGCTACAGACTGCTATTGCTCTATAGTTGTCAGGGTTCCTGATGCACCCTTTTTTGTGAATTGGTGTGATCACACTTTTGCTCCAGAGGTAAACTCCTGTCTCCAGGCACAAATTGAAGAGTTTGAGGAGGAGCGACCTCATATTCATGCTCAGACCCCGGAGCATTTCGTTGCTGATGTGGTCAAAAGAAGATGCTTTGCCCGATTTGAGTTCGCCTAGCGCAGCGTTCAGCTCATCCGATGTAAATGGGCTGTTCAGTGACTCATTAGGGGCAGATCCCTCGGATAGGGCGTTGGCTTCTTCGAGGAGAGCTCTTTTAGTGAGAGTGTCTACGGTTGGATGATTGTCAGAATATAGCTCAGAGTAGAACTGATGGAAAGAGTTGAGTTGCTCCGTTTCAGTTTGGACTTCTTCCTTCTTGTAGTTCTTAAGCTTCTTGAAATCTCTCCAGGATATAGTTTTACCGTTTTTAATCTTCTTTTTAAGGCTATTGAAGAAGTCATCCCTTTTCTTATTGACAATCTTTCGATATCCTTTAGAGTTGGCACGATGCCGTGTTTTGATTCTCTGGTTATCAGGATTATTGTCGACAATTTTTATTGACCGTTTGAAAAGGCGTCGTGCAGTGTGACGCTTGCCGTCAAACCATGAGGCGAACTTGGGTTTTGGATTCTTAGTTTGTTTAGAGATATCGAACACTTTTTTAGCGACATCGTTTATGAGTTCTGTAATATGCCTATTCAGTGCTTCAACTGCCTCATGGGTTTTTGGAGTGGATTCGACATCTTTGGTCAGTTGGGAGATTCCTTGAATGAACTCAGGCTGTTCAAATGATTTTGTGAAGTTGGCTAAACCCTCTTCTGTGATTTTGTATCGAAAGGGAGCTTCCTCGTAGATACTGGCGGGAGCTTGACTATTCCTTTGAGGGGCCCTGCGTCTATGCCAAAGGCTGAGTAAGACTGGATTGTGATCGGAGAACAGAGTGTGCTCACCCACTGAGAGGCTCTTGAAACGGTGAAGAAAGGATGTTGATGCAATGAAGTAGTCCACTACGCTGTTTCCGTTCCACTTGTAGCATGTGTATTTTCCAGCAGAGTCACCGATGGTACGTCCATTAAGGATCAGGAGGTTTTGCGATCCACAGAGGTCAAGCAAAAGGTTTTTGTGTCTATTGGTAATTTTGTCCTGGCTGTTCCTATTTTGAGATATAGGTACCACGTCAGGTATAACCATGAAGTCGGAAGACCTGCCAGTTTCTGGAAAGAGCTCGAATTCGTCCGCTCTGTCATACATATGAAAATCTGGAGCTACTCCTATCCTGGCATTAAGGTAACCAAGAAGTAATAGCTCATCACTGGGGTTATTCTTGATGCTGGTTATTTTTTCCTGAAGGGCATCAAAGTTTGCCTCGGAGCAGTTAGTGCGGTTTTTCTGTTTGCTATTTTTAGGTGGGATGTAGCTATTGACAACAAAGGTGTTGAGATTGCTGTCGGGATCAGTGATTTTAACAATGACAATATTCATTGTATGGTCCGCAGTGAGTGTGCAAGCCATGAATGTTTGCAACATTCCAGGAAATTATACCGTTGACGATGTTCATCAGTCAGGTATAGAAGATGAGAGAGGCAGGAGGAGAGGAGGAAAGAAGAAGAGAACTCGAAAGACTTGGAGGAGCTGACACGTTAATGTCTGAACTTGAAACACTTATGGCCAAGCAAACTGCTGTGAAAACTGCCACAATGTGGCTCACCTCTACTAGAAAGGAATATGTATGGTCTTCCTATGGTCTTCAATCTTTTGCAGAGGCTACATTTAGGTGCGGTAATATTTTGCAAAAAGGGCGATTCCGTACCTGCCTAAACACCAAAACTTTTCTATGAGCGGCAAATTTGGAACACTACACCGCAATTAAGCTGAGTTTTGGTACTCTCAGGTTGAATTATTCGTTTGTCTAGTTATTATCGTTCGCTGAGATTCCTGACAATTCAAGATGTATAAATATACAGAATTGCCCTCATAGAAGATATTACAATTATATGACTGGTATGGGGCTAATTGAGCTGGCAATGAGTATAACTATGATAATTGAGGCATACTCGTAGTATTATTTATAATATTCCAACAAATTGTTTGTGCAGTATACATGTCAGAATAAAACAAATATTCAGAATAAAACAAATATCATATTCAAATCTCTTTATTCAACAATATTAAATCATTATAGGGACCTAATTTGTGACCTGATCGTTATGTTAGGGCTATTCTGTTAGCTGATGCTGACAGGTACCGCATGGGGCAGAGACTTAGGACCATTACGCTGGAGGCTTACAATGACCCTTTTTGAACCCCATGGCAGTGCTAGTTTTATTATGGTACAAATTGTAAAGCGAAGTTATGAAAACGATCAGTTCACTCCTGTTTTACACAATCAACAGCTACTTAAAACAACTTAGATTGTACAACTCACTTTGAAGATAAAACTGTTAAGTGATGAGTGATTGGGCTCATTAAACATTTTAGTAGCGGAGACATGCGGATCAGCTTCTTAAGGGTCTAATAGTTCATTCAGACAAGAAGTTTTACTTTTCAAATTTAGTCGTTCAAGCTGCCTGAGTTCAGGAAGTTTGCCAAAGGGGCCCAGGTATTCTGGTCACCTTTACCCTGGGACGAGAGAATAAATTTTTTTAACCTTTGATTTGAATACACCATGAGTGATTTCAAGGTCGTTCAGTGCCAACATCTGACGGAATGAATTCCAAAGGCAACTAGATTGGTAAACGAAACTGTTTGAGGGCGTGGTTGTTATAAGAAGAGTTTCTTTGCCGGGTCTTTTAGACAAACAGAAAAGTTCAAATAGTGCAATTGGTGTTCGATATTTAAAGACTTTAAAAAGTTCATTGCAGCAGTGATACGCGTATAAATTATGCAATGTCATGAGTGATTGACAGGCAAAAATTGGCTTGGTGTGCTCTCTCTCTCAAAGAATTTGCTCGTAAGTTTCTGTTCACCGACAGGTCTAGTTCTAGCACATGTCATAAATTTATCAAGGTATGCTTTTTTGTCACCAAACATGATACGAACACACTTTTTCTGGGCTTCAATTAGTGGTTGAAGTTTATTATTACTTGCACCTCCCCAAACGGTAATGCCATAAATATAAGAAAGGTGACTTTCAAACAGTGTGTGGTACAGGTCCTTATGGATTTTTTTTTTATCTCAACACTTATTTTACTTCGGACATTCCAACAGCCACATTGTTACACAAGTGTGTAACCAGCCAATTACAGGAAGCCGAAGGATTCAATTATACATTAGGCCAGTGACGGTTAAGGTAGTGTGTACCATACTTTCTTCATCCGAGACTTTGCTGCAATGGGCAGCTCCTCATTTAACCCTCACACCCGATTTCTCGAGTATTTGGCTGAGTAGACCGGGGGGCTGCATAGACCACTCAGGATCCTTAGCTGAGCGTCGACGACGCTCACCCCACGGCTAGTGACAGAGTCGGGAATCGAACCTGGTACCTCAAGCAATGTCAGGCAGAATAACCAACTGAGCCACTAAGCCGGATAGATGATGGAATTTTATCCTTAATCATGTACAGCCTCCCAGAACAGGACAAGAGTTTTCTAACTAACTTGTCTCTATAAGGATTGAATGTAAGGCCTTCGCCGACAATTACTCCCAGGAATTTCGTTTCTTGCACCTTTGAGAGAGGTAGGCCGTTGAGGTAAAGTCTACTTTCAATTAATAAAGATTGCTCATCAAGTTTTCTTTTAGCTGTATTGAATTCTATATAGCAACTTTTCTTGGTGTTAACATGTAATTTATTAGCCAATGTGTACTCGTGGACTGATCGTATGACCCTATTTGCATTATTGTAGGCCTCTGCTCTAGTTTTGGCAACTACAATTAATATGTTTGTGTCATCAGCAAATAAGACATAGCTAGTGTTATCGAGTTGAGAGTTTGTCAAGTCATTTATGTATATTAAAAACAAGAGAGGCCCAAGGCAGCTCCCCTGTGGAACGCCATAGAGAACGGGAAGTCTGTTTGATACTTCGCCCAGGACGTGTAATGTGTATAACCTAAAGTGCCTCATTTTCAATCTGTTGAGGGATTGTGATCCAGCTTGACAAGTTATTAATTTGCCATGATTCACCCTCTTTTGTTTTTCATCAAATATCAATAGCATTAAAAGTCAATGCATTATTAACTTGTTATCTGATAATAATAATAATGAACTTTCTATGTATGCTTTTCTTGATTTAAATATAAAATATAAAAAATAGTTATACTTTCCGATGTTTCTGATGTTACGTCATGAAAATGTTGTATCTTAACCTGCATAGTTACGGGCATGTTCATATTATTTCATTGTACACAGCATACATCAAGTATTGATCTAATATTTGGTTCTTTTTAAAAATCTAGATACTTATTTTAATTCGTCTGATTGTATTTCGTAGTCCATTTATATTGCTGTTTAATTAAACTCTGATGCAACCAGTTCACATTTCAATTGCGGTTTGATCGATGTAGATCTGAAAAAACTGTTCTAGTACACTGTACAAGTACAACATTAATCCAGGAGAATGGCCGTTCAAGATGAGTCTGAGATAACGCCCCACCAAAATAATTCGAGATGGACAAAAAACGATTACTGTTTCCTTGTACTGGCGATGCTGATCAAGTTTGGGGATGCTGTGGAATTATACCTGCCCGGCGTAATTACACAGAAGGTTTCTTGCGAGCTTGGGGTCTCCTTTTTCCAGGAAGGGACCTCTGCTACAATCATTTATGTATTTGCAGGTATCGGTACACTAACTGCTGTTCCGCTGGCGAAGAAATGCGGTGATAAAACCACCCTGCTTTTTTCACTGTATGGCTCCATAATATTTACCATATTCTGCTCGTTGGTTCCCAATTATTATACTTTTCTACTTTCTAGAGCTCTCATAGGATTTGGCTGTGGATTAAACACGACAACAATTGGAGTTTTCGGTGCAAAACATGTTTCTTCTAAAAAGATTCTACCAACATTTTCTTTCATTCATGACTGCATTGCATTTACGTTTGGTTCTGGTTGGGCGTCGCTGCTGGGTTGGTTTTTTCTAGATAAAATAGGATGGCGGACGTTTGTTCTTCTTACTTCTATTCCTTTGTTCATCCCACCAATATTGATGCTACATTGTTTCTTTGACGAAGAAGTCACAGCTAATGAATCAACAAGCCTTCTCAAAGATCAAAATGGATCTCAGTCTGTTGAAAACTTTGCTGTGAGAGTTCTTAAGGCGAGCCTTTTCGGAGGCTTTAACATCTTCCTAGGATATGGGAGTGTCATGCTCCTTCCATCACTCATCAGGAATTACGATCTAACCAACGCGTATCTGTAGATGTCGATAATTGTGAGCAAGTCATACATGGAGATCATTATATGATCCTTGCTGTGGTCAATGGCCTTGCCAACATCATAGGAAGGCCGATAGGATTTTTTCTTAGACCACATTTCAAGTTTATAACGCTTCAAACTACCTTCATGCTCGGATTCGCCATATCTTATGGAATCATCCTTGCAAGACCTTGCTTACTTGTAGAATGCATAATGATGGGAATAGGAAAATTGTGTTATTCGATGCAGGGAACAGAGAAAAGCGTCTTAAACTACGATGTGGAATATTTTGCATGGACTGACTGGCCTGTCTTTGGGTGGTTCCCTGATGGAGATAGGATGTTTAGTTGGTGGTGTAGTAAGTACCGCTCTCTCTCTAATCAAGGGGTTAAGCATAGAGTAATAACAAGCCAGTACACAGTTGCATAATGAGCATAGCAAAGATATGTTTTGTTTATTCATTTGTTTTTGTTTACTATTTTCATTAATACAACATACTACAGGGTGGCCCATAAGTGACTACCCACACGCAACCTCTTAATAACTCACGTAATTCGTCTTTAAATTGCACCAAAATTTCAGAGATTATAGATATGGGTCAAACTTAGATTTCCTGAGAGTTTCGTAAGCCACGCCTAATTACAGTGGGCGTGGCGTAACACTCCATCTTTTTCACTATTGTCTTCATAAAATGAGAACGCTTTAAGCTAAGAACTCAAAATTTTTTGCACACATTTGGCTTGATAATTGAAAACTTTTCCAAAAGTTTCAAGTTCATTGGTTAAAATATGGCTGAGTTATGACCATTTTAAAATCCATCGAATATGTGATCCGAGCACTCAGAGTAATGCGTTAGCGTGTATTAATGAGGTTCATTAGGCTTTGATTGGATACCGATGATGACTTTGCTAGAAAGGAAAACAGTTCCAAGAGGAACTGTCAAAAGTAAAAGAAGAGCTATCCAATATTACAGCTCGGACTACAATTGCAAGTGAAATGAACCCAATGGATTGCTCGAGTGATTCTGAAGTAAGACCTTATTGAAGATTGAGTCTTTTTAGTTGAATCCCTTAAAACTATAAACCATGAACATAAGCAAAGATATTTTTTTATTAATTGGTTTTTATTTTCT